CTGATTTGTAGTTACTTCCCAGAGCCACTGGATTATAGCCACTTCAGAGTTTGTAATGTCCTCCTGCTTGTCCACTATGCTTCTGTTCTCTAAGTACTGGATAAGGTATGACCTGTCACACACACTACTGATTATTCATAGAGGACTACAACCCTACAGGGTCCCTTTGAGGCCCCAAGGCAACAGAAAGCTAACGTGCAGGCTGTCGTTTCCTTCTGTTTTGGTTTTGACAGGAAACAACAAGAGCTTGACTCCAAGGATGCTATTATTTTACATCAGTTTGCAAGACCTAACAATGGTGTCCCCAGCTTATCTCCCTTCTGTTTGAAAATGGAAACCTACCTGAGAATGGCTGACCTACCCTATCAGGTACTTGTTTGCAAATACGTTTTATTCTTATGGTCTCAATATCACATAGAGGGGGGTGTAGTTAAAGTCACACAAATGGATGTCAGAGTTGAAGACAGTACATAGTCTTTAGTAAGAGAAAGGTACTTGATTCCAGAGTCTATGGGTTTCTTTGTACATAAGTTTTAATGAAGGAATCATAGTATTTCTTTGAATGTATCCTTTGGTTGGAGGTTTGGGTAGTCTTACTGGGCAGCTGGTGAGAAATGTGAGCGTGCTACTTCCTGCTGAGACTTTTTCTTTTTAAAAATAATTTTTACTTAAATTAAAAACAGTCTTATTTTACATACCTATCCCAGTTCCCTCTCCCGCCTGTCCTCCCATGCCCCGCACCAATTTCTCATTCCACCCCCAATTCACTCCCAGGGAGGGTGAGGCCTCCCATGGGGGATCATCAAAGTCTGTTGTAGCAGATGCAACAGCCTAGGCCCTCCCCATGTGTCTAGGCTGAGAGAGTAGCCCCCCTTGAGGTATGGGCTCCCAAAGCCCATTCGTGCACTAGGGATAAATACTGGTTACCCAGGCCTCCCAACTGACACCCTCATTCAGAGGGCCTTGTTCGGTCCTATCCTGGTTCCCCAGCTCTCAGATTGGGGTCCTTGAGCCAGTTGTGGTGGTGCATGCTGGTAGGATTTGCTGAAGGAGGCAGAGGCAGGAGGATGATGAGTTGGAGGCCAGCCTGGGACTTTTCTTTTAGGTTTTCATTTATCATTTTGTCCTCCATGAATGTGAGGTTAGAGAGCACAATAGGAACTGGGTGAATATTTAAAAAAAAAAAGATTGGCAGTACTAAAGATTGAAGTCAGTGCCTCACTGTACTAGACAAGGGTTCTACCACTTACCTGTAGCTCTGGCCTTTGAATATATTTTTGAATTTTTCTATGTTTTGCTTAAATAGCTTTCAAGGGAGTAGCTGTTTATTTCAGCATTCATGAAACAAAGGATGTTAGAGCAATGCTCAGTGGTTAAGATCCCTGGGACTCCTGTAGAGGATCCTGGTTGGGTTCCCAACACCTACATGGTGGTTTATGACCATATGTAATTCCAGTTACAGGGGATCCCATGTCCTCTCTGACCTCAGGCATCAAGGCAAGCATGTGGCACACATAAACATAAAGGCAAATGACTGACAAATAAAGTAAATAAGTCTCAAAAAGCAATTCAAGGAAAAAGAAGGAAAAAGAAACACACATACCCATATATACATGCATACACATAGACGGACACTCATATGTAAGAAGTGATTGCATTTTCACCCCATGAAAAAGGAAAATAAGCCAAAATTTTAATGATAACTAATTACTGAAGTTTAGATTATTGGATACATATAAACATTTCCCCCAATATGGGCTGGAGAGATGGCTCAGGGGTTAAGAGCACTGACTGTTCTTCCAGAGGTTCTGAGTTCAATTCCTAGAACCACATGGTGGCTCACAACCATCTGCAATGTGATATGGTGCCCTCTTCTGGCACGCACTGTATACATGATAGATAAATAAATAAATCTTAAAAAAATTTTCCCCAATATAAGAATAAGCATTATGCCATAAAAAAGAATAAACAGAAGTATGTATTTGAAGGTATCCATTTTTCCCTCAGTAATGCTGGAGGCAGCTAACACATCTGATGTATTTTTTGTTGTTCTCATTTCTCTATGTAGCTTTCAATTTTTCCCTTATGTTTTCCTTTTTAACAAGTTCTAGCTGTATGGAAATTCACCAAAGCTTTGTTTCTATAATTGGTTTTGATATTATGGCCATAGAAAATAGTCTCTGTGACATCAAGTCCTTCAGTTTACTGAGACTTTATTCAAGTGTATGGTTATTATGTTTTAAATGGTGGCAAATAATTAATCTTGTCAGTATGGAGCTGTCTGTGTGTTTACTTGCTTGAAGATATTTAATGTGTTATTTAGCACTTCAATTTTGCTTTTTTAAAATGGCTTGCCTGTTAGTTTCTGAACTGGGTGAAGTGTTCATGTCTTTGTTGATTGGTCTCTTTTTGTGTTATATGAGGACTGTAATACTATTTATATGTTTGAGGTTATGCTATTAGGTACATATACTACAAAGGATCACATTAAAATGTTTTAATTTTCAAAGTACAGTGTCCTCTGGTTCTTTTTAAACTCTTTCAGTATGAGTTCTTATGTGTCTTATGTCTTTTTAACATTTTTTTTTCGGTTTTTTGAGAGAGGGTTTTTTCTGTGGCTTTGGAGGCTGTCCTGGAACTAGCTCTTGTAGACCAGGCTGGTCTCGAACTTACAGAGATCCACCTGCCTCTGCCTCCCGAGTGCTGGGATAAAAGGTGTGCGCCACCAATGCCCGGCAACTTTTTTGAATTTTTATAAATCTATTTTATTTCTAGCTTATTAGGTAAATGCTGTATTCTCATACCTGCTTTTACCAATATTTTATTTTGGTTGATGTGTGAAATTGATGAAGCAAATGAAACCCCACAAAGGTGCATAGTGTAGAAACAGAGAGGCTGGTTTGGGTTTTGATGTTGTTTTAGTTAGTGGTTTGTTGGGTTGTAAGTGTAACATTTTCTTACACATGTGTAATTATACTTTGCCTAATTTCACAGTTCTCATACTCTCTTGATGGTTCAGGTCTTCACCCCAAATAGTCTCCTTTTCCAGTCACGCAAGTTCCATTACCCTTTTTCTCCAACGATTTGCTTCAGATCTCTTCCCCTCTTGTGGTCCTTGTGGATGGAAATTTCTGTCCTGCCCAGTCCCACAGCTGTTTAGCCCCCAAATAAACACACAGAGGCTTATATTAATTATAAACTAATTAGTCTATTGGCTCAGGCTTCTTATTAGCTAGCTCTTTCTTAATTATTAACCCATTTCTATCTCCATGTAGTCTTGGCTTACCGGTGATGTCCAGGCCTCTTGCTTCCTTGGAAGCTACATAGAGTCTCCTCACTCTGCCTACTACCTTTCTCTATCCCTGTTTGGATTTCCCACCTGCCTAAATCCTGCCTGTCCATTGGCTGAAACAGTTTTATTCATCAACCAACAAGAGAAACATATATTCAGAGCATGTGGAAGGACCTCCCCCATCAGCTCTTTCTAGTCTTATGGCACAACAGTTGCATGCATATGTATAAAGTTAAATCTAGATTTTTGCATATGAAAGAAAATGTGGACTTGGTGTTTCCGAGTCTGGTGTGTTTCTCTTACCACAGTGATCTCCAGTTCAATCCATTTTCCAGTAACTGACGTAATTTTATTCTTCTTTATGGCTGAGTGAAACTCCACTGTGTATGTAGGACACATTTTCTTTATTCATTCACATATTGTCAGACACTTAGGCTGGTTTCTTGATTTGGCTGTTGGGAACAGTGCTGCATTAAACAAAACATACAAATGTTGATTTTGATTCCTTCAGCTATATCTCCAGAAGTGGTATAGCTGGCTCATATGGTAGCTTTTTTTTTGAGAAACCTTTATTCTGCATATTGGCTGCACCAATTTATATTCACACCAGCAGTGCCTAAGTGTTGTTCTTTCTCTGTATTTTTTTTTTAACCCGGCAATTGTTATCATTTGTTATCTCGAGAGAGCCACTCTGACTGGAGTGAGATGGACTGTGTGCTTTTTTAAATTCTGGGGAAAATAATGATCAATATTCTTAACATATTTCCTTTAATAATCTTCCCTGCTTGTTTCCTGTTGGCTGGATCTCTGCTTTTATTACCCCTGTCTCTGTGCTGTACTGTAATTCTCTGCTTCTATGTGGAACTTTCCTCTTGTTGAGCTTCCATTGCAACGGAACATTCTGGTTTTGCAACCATTTTTTTTAAGTTTTATTTTTTTTAATATTTAAGTATGCCTGCCTGTGTGTCTGGGAGTATGCACATGTGCTTGCAGGTGCTCATGGAGGCAACAGGGGATTCTTTCAAGTTGGAGTTACAAGTAGTTGTGATCTGTCCAATGTGGGTGGTGGGAATCACACTTGGGTTCTCTGAGAGAGCAGTAAGTATACCCTTAACTGTTGAGCCATCTCTCCAGCTCCTCATTGTGTTTTTCCTCTGTTGTGTTCTTTCTTTTTAAGATGGTTTCCCTGTGTTGCCTTGGTTGGCTTTTCCTCTTGCCTCTACTTCCCAAGTACAGGTGTGTACCTTCATCGTTCCTGCCAACTGTTGACTAAAGTTGACTTTTATCTTTTCTTAAAAAGTGTGTCTCCTCCGTCAATTTTCTTAATTTCTCCCTTTATCTGTGGGAGGATATTTATTGTGCTATCTAAAAGCATTTTGTCTATCCCAGGATTTCTGCTTCATGCTACCTGTATTCATCATGTTTCCTTTCTCTTGTGGTGGTCGTTCTTCTCAGAGGTCTAGTGTTTTGTTTTTAGATCTCCTATGCTTTCCTGTCCAGGGATTTGTACTGTACAGGGACTAAAGTCCTCTCCATGGTCCTCAGGCTTCACTTCCAGTGTGCTACTTATTTGCACATCCTGTCTTTCCATCTCTTTGGCTTTCTTTTTCTCACCTATTGACAACTTAAATGAATAGTAAATGAGCACCCCTGTCCTTTCCCACAGTTTCACTTATGGCTATTATTTGGCCTCCTTTGCTTAAGCTCTCTTTTTATATTCTTTTAGAAACATGTTTTGGATACATCTTTTGAAAGTACTGTGCAGAAATCATGGCACTTCACTTAAATATGCTTTAATATGCATATTTCCCAAATAAAGACAGTTTTTCTACAAAACTACAATATACATTAGAGACATGGATTTTTCTCATTGTGTTATAGTTTTCGAAAGGTAGTCAAATTATTTCAAATGTAGCCAGTGGGAGGTGTCTGGTGGTAGTTCTGGAGTGTGTTGAGTATTTACTTACTCCTTACATAGTGAATAGCAACCTTGTTAATGAACTGCTTACCCAGGGTTTAGGAGGCCAGGCTGTCACAGAGGATGGGGCAAGGGATTCCTATAAATGCTGGCGACTGT